TTCTAGGTTTTCCCAACTTTATTGAGATATAATTAATATACTGCACATACTTAAAATGTACAATGTGATGAAGTTTGATATATGCGCTCTTTGTGTTGTATTTTAAATCCCAAAATAAAAATATAGGTATGGTTATTTTCATTTTGGGTTTAAGATACTAATTTAAGTTTAGGAACTTCTTTGCTTATTTTTTCCATTATTCAAAAGTAAATCATGTTATTGTGTTGATGAAATTGATCTTTTTTTCAAACCTTATAATCAGTGATTAGATTTTAAGTGCATAGTCTTAAAGTTCAGTGTTTAATTGGAAATTGGTAGTTTTCTAATTGTTAGTTGTCACTTAAATATGCATGATTGGTATATATTCTATCTATTCAACCTTTATTAATTCAGTGTTGATAATGTTGTTTTTTTTTAGTACCTCCCAATGATCTCTACATTTTAAAAAATCATAGGAACAACACATGTTTAATAGAGAAAAACAAGAACAAAGAAGCAAAAAGAATACAAATACCTAAGGCAAAGGAAACTAAAGAGAAAATAAACAATGGGACTACATAAAAAAAAAAAAGCTTCTGCACAGCAACAGAAATCAACAAAACAAAGAGTATCCACTGTACGGGGAAAACATATTTGGTAATGATATATATCCCAAGAAACCTGAAGCACCAATCAGAAAGGACATATGCACCCCTATGTTCGTAGCAGCACAATTTACAATAGCTGAGATCTGGAAACAGGCCAAATGCCCAACAGTGATTTGAAAAAGATTTACCAAACAGACTTAGAAGCTAAGAACAATATTAGGTTGATTCTGGTGGTTGTATGTTCCTGATAAATAATGATAGATTTTCCCCCCAATTATTAATAATTGCCCCTGAGATAAACCTAATTGCCTATGATACTGTCACTGCACAAAGCTGATAATGTTAGTTTTTGATTTTTACAGAAGAATGAAACAGTGACTGTGATCATAGCTATTTAAAACTTAAAAAATGTGGTTCATCAATAAGTTGTTTTATTTAGATCAGTGGCTACTTAGAAAGTCAGCTCATAATAAAAATATCACTTCATCTGTGGCCAAATGAAAACTAAGAGTGATGTACTTTTTCTAAAATTAAAACTTTATTAAAGCACTTTATTTTAAAATTATTCTCACCTTTTTGTAGTTAAAATAGCCTTTCTTTAGGAAATAATGATAATTAAATTAAAAAGGTTTTTTTGTGTGTGTGTGTGTCTGTTTTTAATATTGCAAAAAGTTTACAAACCTATGTGTTGCTAGAGTAGAACCTTGCTACTCAAAATGTGGTTGATGGACCAACGGCATTATCACTTGGGAATTTATAGAAATACAATGTCTCTGGTCTTATTCCAGACCTACTCAATCAGAATCTTCACGTTAACAAGATTCCTCAGGTGGTTCATTAAATGAGAAGTGGCGGTCTATACAATAGTCATCGATTGTACCTACTAATCCCACCCTCTTTTCCTCTTACTTTCAAGCTACACTATGCCTCCAGCCTATTGTTCAATTTAGAAACCTGGAACTTATCTTTGATCCCATCTTGTCCCACCCACTCCCTAGCCTCTCCTATATCAAATTAAATGTTATAATCTTCCTAATGTGTATGCAATCTGTCCACCTCTCTCCGGGTTCCACTGTTGCCACTTTTGTCTGAGCCACTGTCTTCTGGCTTGGATGACTGTAAGTAAGACTTCCTAACTGTCTCTCATTCTTTTCTCCTGACAGCCATTCTTCACACAGCAGCCAGATTGAGCTTTTAAAAAACGATAAATCAGATTCTGAAACTATACTGTTGAGAATTCTTTAATGGGTTTTCATTGCACCAAGGTAAAATTCAAACTCTTGCTACTCTACATTCTCCCTTTCCAGCCTCATTTCCTATCTCCTTCCCATGGTCCTTATTCAGGGATCACTGGTCTGGAGAGAGCCAAACTCAGAGCCTTGGTAGAAAGTCTCCCTGGAGCACCTTCCTCCCCTCTCCTTTTAGCCCAGCTGCTTTTTGTGCGACCTACAGGTTTCAGATCGGAGAGCTTTCTGACCACCCAGTCAATAACGGTTTTCCTCTCATAACGCATACTTGTCCCTCAGAGCACTTCATCTGTGGCCAAATGAAAACTAAATAATTACAGTGTGTAATTATTTAAATACTTATGTTTTTCTGTAGTTAATGTTTATCTCTTCTAGCCCATACACTTCAAGAGACTGGAGAAGGATAATTCTATTTAACATTGCATTCTTGGTGACTGGTACAAAGGAGGAAATTTAAAAAAAAAAGTGTTGAGTAAATAAATCAATGATTTTGATTTTACTGATCTATGTTATATATTCTGTGTGAAAAAGACAATTTGACGAGGTTACCTAGTTCTACTTTTGTTGTAAGCATTAAGTTTAGCCAGAGGCACACTTTCTGTCTGGATATATTTAATTTCAAACAAGTTGAGCTATGAAAGATTGAGAAGCCTACTTACCAATAACATTTTATAAATATAATCTGTAGGTAGTGTGGCACTGCTGCTAAAGTGTAGGTCTTAAGGTCAGTCAAGCCAACCTGCTCTTCGCTCTGCCACTTGCTAATTGTGTGAAGGTAACTTGGCAAGCTACCTTCTCTAGGCCTCAGTTTTCTCAACGGGGTTGTTGAAGAATTTATTGAGGAAATGTATGTATGTGCTTATCAGAGCTCCTGGTATGAGCCAACTAGAGAATATTATTATTTGCTTGTTGACTTTGACGACGTTCAGTAGAGCAGCAGCCTGTCCATCATCATCATGTCACATTTCTGCTGGCCGGTAACAGGCCTTGTGGTAAAGGAAAGGGTTACATCTGACTGCCTTTGGTTCCTGGAAAATGTCTGTCTCCTGAGGGGACGGTGTGGAGGGGGATGGGCAGGGTAGAGTTATGGCCCAGGAAGACATAAACAAGTAGGGCCTGGAACACGTCTCTGTTCTGTGGCAGAGCTCCTGTCTCTGACATTAACGGACAGCTTTTTATGGCTGCCAGGAGAAGCAGTCCCTTTGCCTTCCTAGTCTTGTTTGATTTCTACAAAAATGCTTCCTATTGCAAAATCCTGGTTACACTGGTTTAAATGAAGTGTATGAAATGGTATAAAGCAAGGGACCCCAGTTTCCTCTTCAGATCAGTCCGCCCCACCTTCAGCACTAAGAGGGAGGTAAGGCTGGTTGGGGAGAAGCTAGAGAGAAGCTGGGTTTGAGTCTTAGGGAAATTGGTGTGTAGCAATAAGGCTCTAAGCTCCAGTGGGGGAGGGTGGGCTCCTGATGGTTATTTATATGTTTTTCTTTATGGGTAAACCTATGCCTAAACCTATACTTAATCTAAGAATTGACTGTTTTGGATTGCTTCCAGGAAAGGACCTCTATGCTGTTTTGTATTAAAACAGAATTCTGGTCAAAGATTCTCCATATTGAGAGGATTATCTTGACACGCACACAAGCAGATAGGGCAGTGGTCCAGTGGAAAACAAAGGTAGATGGAACATAGGGCAGGGGCAGAGACACAGCAGTTGAGCCAGCCTACTCACAGGAACCAACCAAGCAGAAATCCTATATAATAAAAGCCTAATATACAAATCAACTGAACGGGGGAATGACTGGCAGAATGACCAGTCACTATGACATGAACTGACCATTAGGGGGCAGACACTCAATGTAGGAGCTGCCCTCCAGCCTGCAGGCCCCAGGCCAGCAAAGGGGGGTGTAAGGGAGGGCCCTCGATCGGCCTGCTGGTTGCCCCACAGATTGGCTCTGATTACCGACTAGGCCTATCGACCCTACTCATGCACAAATTTTGTGCACTGAGCCTCTAGTAATACAATATTTCTGGACTCAAAGTGGGAGGCATAGGAAACTAAGGTGTAGAAACACACAGAAACAGGGAAAGTTCAGGTCAGTTGCTGGGCAAAAAGACAATTGAGGAAATCAATCAGGTGACAACAGGGATAGATATAGAAGCAGACTTGTAGCAAATATATACCCCTGGACTATAAGGCTTTTTAGTGGGCGGCCGTTATTGAGTTTCCCTCCCCTTGTGGGGAGCCTGAATCTGCTTGTAATAAATTTCCCACACTTTTGCTTCAGTCTTCTGGTCCTCAGAGCTCATTCATCAGATCTGGTAAAACTCCTCAGCTCACCCTTCCAGTTATCAGTATTAACTGGGACAGGGACGCCCTTCACCCCACAGGCATGTCTTTATACCTTCGCTGTTTTTCCTCATCTTCTGAGATGCTCTGCCTCATTGTGTTTCTCGTTTGGAAGCAGGCTCAGTCTATGACTGTTGTTTGGTACCTCTTCCTAAATGTAATATCTAACTTCTCAGGTGGGCACAGCCCCTCTTTCCACAAGGGAGTCTTTCTTTTGTGTGTTGCAATGTCAGGGCGTGTTGGGACAAGGGGGAGGGGTCCTCCAGTCAGACAGGTCTCTTTACAGATCCCAGTGACACATTCTGGAGATTTAAAAAAATGTATATTTGTTGGGGAGGGATAGTCCATTGTTGATGTTTCATGAGATTGTTATGTTTGTAATAAATGGCTTCTCAGAAAGCACAGTCATTATGATAAACCAGCTCATCAGGTACTGTAGACATAGTACACTTCAATAATTATTAACACAGATGATAGGATGAGGGTTTTGAAAATGTGCAAATGTGTATACCAGTCTTTCTGGACTATAGGACCAAGTCATTTTCATGTCCATGTATTTTAAAAAGTATTTTCTTTAAAAAAAAATTTATTTTTAAAAATATGTTTTTATCTATTTCAGAGAGAGAAAGAGAGAGGGAGAAAGAAACATCAGTGATGAGAATCACCGATGTGTTGCCTCCTGAACACCTGCTGGGGACCGAGGCTGAAACCTAGGCATGTGCCCTGGCAGGGAATTGAACTGTAACCCTCTGGTTCATGGACCAAGGCTCAACCACTGAGCTACCCCAGCCAGGCATGTCCATATATTTTTTTTAATCTTCATAGTTCCCTATGAATGTTTTAAAATGACTTAGTTTGAATAAGATATGAATAAGAAAGCATTTGGAGCTGAACATATGGCATTTTGATTTTTCCCTGCTCCTCCCATCTCCCTTTACCAGGCACATAGAGTCACTCTATAGAGTCTCTGGTGTGTCCAGGTCCCAGTGCTTCAAATGAATAAGCAGACTTCCTCCCATTCAGACAGTCAAATGAGATGGTGGGGTGTGAGGATTAAGGAACATGTTTAGACCAGTCTCCTGCACATAGAAACAATCAAGTCGTAGCCATTGCTATTATTTACTGGATGCCCATTATCTACGAAGGGGTCTATATGCTTATTAGCTACAGAGCAATATTCTAAAAGTCTACAATATAGTGGGGGGGGGACAGGACATGTATACTTTAGTCAGAGTGATTATTTAAGAAGCAATATGAGTACAGCGTAGGGCAGTGGTCAGCAAACGGTGGCTCGAGAGCCACATGCGGCTCTTTGGCCCCTTGAGTGTGGCTCTTCCACAAAATACCACGACCTGGGCGAGTCTATTTTGATGAAGTAGCATTAGAAGAAGTTTAAGTTTAAAAAAATGTGGCTCTCAAAAGAAATTTCAATCGTTGTACTCTTGATATTTGGCTCTGTTGACTAATAAGTTTGCCAACCACTGGCATAAGGCATATAGTCAATAATATTGCAATAACTATGTATAGTGCAGGTGGGTACTGGAAATATGGGGGGAAGGCCGGACACTTTGTAAAGTATATGATTGTCTAACTACTATGCTGTACACCTGAAGCCAATACAAAATAATATTAAAAGTAAACTGTAACTGAAAAAAAAGCAATCTGATCAGATCCTATGATATGGACATCTTCAAATTCATAACAAGCCACTAGTAGTGATCTGCTTCTACCTACCTTTATAGCTCCATATTGTCTCATCTTGCACCCCTTTTTCTTTTGTTCTGTAAACACTAGCTATATTGGATTCTTTCATTTTCTAGGAAGAATATAAGCTAAATAGGAGGAGAGGGGGAAGAATTTTTCTTTCTTTCTTTTTTTTTTTCTCTCTTAGTGATGGAACTCTACCCAGACCTGAGAGAATGCCTGGCACAGCAGAAGAGATCAATATATTTACATTTGCTGCATAAATGTCATTGTTAGCATTTACAGCTTTCTTTTATTGAAATACAATCTACTTCTTATCCTGCCACTTCCTTTCACTGAGCTACTCTATTATTTTGCATTTGCTTCTTTAGAATAGTTCCTGATGCACTTGTTTTAACTAAATTCTGTTCTATATGCTCTTTTACTACTGTAAACTCTTTAACTTCCAATTATACAATATGAAGGGGATTATAGCTGTTTTATTCATTCTATATTCTCAGGTCCTAGTTGATTACCTGTATCACTGAAAAGTTCTCAATCTATTAAAATAAGAAATAGTTCTAATGGAAGGTAAATGACATAGTACCATAAGAGGAATATAGTTAGAGTGCTTGAAATTTAGAGGAGAAAAATATTATTTACAATGATAAGAATCAGGCAATATTTAATAGAGGCTATAGTATCTGAGCTAGGCTTAATAAATGGGTAGGATTCAGAGGTGGCGAGAAATGTTATCCTTGATAAAAATAGCCCAAGTCAATGGATAGAAATACATTTGCTATGTGTGCCATCTGGAGCCCCTTGCAGAAATGAGGCATTCATTTCCCTAACTGATGGAACTGTGGTCTGTAGATGGTTTACATCTCTGAGTATCTCTCCAGGAAATGCTCATAACCAAAGAGAGCTCTTTATCCAAGTTTACACAATTGTCAGGGCAACGACAATCCAATGATCGGACACTGCTGCCCCTGACCTCAATATGGGACATCTCATCCAAGCTTTAGTTCCTTCTAATTGACTGGACTCTGTGTAACTGCCTCTTAATTCCCACACCTCTGCTTAGTCTTACTTCCTTTACTCCTGTATAGGGTACATGCCTCAATATAATAAATCTCTTATACACAGATGTCTGCCTCAAAGTCTGTTTCCTATGGAACTTGGTTTATGATAAGCAGACATGGTGAGACTTGCATAGAAGGATTAATTGGTCTAGAAAATGGATTTTTAAAAATATATTTTATTTATTTTATTTTTTTATTTTTTTATTTTTTTAGAGAGGAAGGGAGAGGGATAGAGAGTCAGAAACATCGATGAGAGAGAAACTTCAATCAGCTGCCTCCTGCACACTCCCTACGGCACATGTGTCAAACACAAGGCCCGCGGGCCAAATCCGTCCCGCCAGGCCTTGCAATGTGGCCCGCATCGCGCTGTCATCACTGCACTCCGCTGCGTTTCCATCATAATGACAGTTTATGACTGTTCAGTAAACCATTCGGCCCTCGATTTAGGCTGGATTTTAGATTTTGGCCCCTTCTCTGATTGAGTTCGACACCCCTACTACGGGGTATGAGCCAGCAATCAAGATACATGTCTTTGACCACAATAGAACCTGGGACCCTTCAGTTCACAGGCTGATGCTCTATCCACTGAGCCAAACTGGTTAGGGCTGATTTTTTTTTCTTATAAAGCATTTGAATCGCCAATAAAAATATCTGAAAGCACCAACATGTAAATGAGGTGAAAGGGGAGTGTCTGTGCTTGAAGTGGGAGTGAGTGCTTATCTGTTTGGCTCCCGTATGCTATGCCAAAATGGTTTTCAGAGGGCTTCACACACTCCCTTCTGAGTACAGTTCAAAAACCAGTAGGAAAATCAGAATCCATGAAATAGGGCAGGAAAGAAATAGGGTCAGGCCATTGAGTGCACTGGATGCCAGGACGGGAAATCTGGACATATTTTGGAGTTAAGGTTAGGAGAGTAGGGGCAGTCCTGACAGTATTTAATTAAAGGCCTAACATCATCAGGGCTGCATTGAGGTAACTGACTAAACACCAAGAAAAAAAAAAATCAAATATACCTTACACTATATAACAATTTCCAGGTGGATTAAAGACACACACACACACACACACAATAAAATCCTAAACTTATTATAAAAATATGTAAATATTTATAGATATTTGGGGTTGTCCCTCAAAGCATGACACCACAGGAGTTATCTGGGGATATTCTTTTTAGACATAGCATTCAAGAGAGAAAATAATTGACAGATTTAGATGAAAATAGAAACATCTGCACATGTAAAACACCATAACCAAAAAAGAAAGCCAAAGGACAATTAGAGAATGTGTTTTGAAATGAATAAAATAGATTAAGGATTGCTATTCTGAATACAGGAAAGGCTCAAAAAATCAATTTAAAAATAGAAAGTTGGGTAAAGTACATGACCATCCAATTCACAAGAGAAAAAACATTAAAAAACCAATCAAATGGAAACCCCCCTCCCTACCCCACCAGTATTTCTAATTATCAAAGAAATAAGTGCAAATTAAAATAATGATGTCCTTTTTCTTCACTTAGCAACTTGGCAAAGTATGGCAGATACTGTTGGTTGCCTACCCAGGCTTCTTCCTTAGTAAGAGAATTACACATTTTCACATTAGATAGAGGTCGATATTCTCAATGCAGGGGTACATATGAAATTCATGTAGGCTGTTGAAACAGAAGGCAAGTCAGCTGGAAGCCTCTTAGGGAAGACTTTTCTCCCTGGACTGTCGTATGAGATTTCTCTAGTACAGGGGTCTGCAACCTTTAAGACATAAAGAGCCACTTGGACCCATTTCCGAAGGAAAAAAAAACCTGGGAGCCGCAAAACCATTGCGACATTTAAAACAAATATAACACTGCATATATTGTTTCTTACCTTAATGCTATATACCGGATCGTGCAGTTAGCTGTCAATCTGAAGAAAAAAAGGACTTTTTCACTTAACAATGTAAAATATGTTTTTGCAAATTAATAGCTAATTAAAATATTTAATTTACCTGGTTAATGGGATTTTTGCTCCTGAACCTCAGTGCGCAGTGTCAGCACATCAGGGTGTAGGACGTTACCTTCGTTTTCACACGGGCTTGCCAGTTGTCGGAGCCGCGGTGAAGCTTCAAGAGAGCCGCATGCGGCTCTGGAGCCGCAGGTTGCCGCCACCTGCTCTAGTATGTTCACTTTTCCACTTTCAATAAGAACTATACCATACCTTCTCCTATAATCTGCAAATTATACATTCCCATTCCCATTCCCATCTTAGCTGGTGACCTGGCCTCATATTTGAATGTGAAAAATAGAAGCAATTAGAGCCAATCCCCTCATTTTCACAACTTCGCCAAACACCAAACCCTTCACCTAGATTCCCCCTCCTCTACTCCTTCAAGAACTTACCTTCTGCATTTTTTTTTCCTTTCACCTCCTATAGATCTTTCTACTTGATTCTCTACTTAATTTTCTTTACTTGATCATTCACACAAACACATCCACTGTTACCTCCCATCCTAAAAACCAACCAAACAAAAACAAATCCATAAAAACTTCTTTGCTCCACATATCACCTTGTTTATTAGCCCATTTATTATTCCCCTTCACAGCAAAACATCTTAAAGACTTGTTTAGTCACCATCTGATTTAACATCTCCTCCTTCTGCTCCAGTAAAACTTCTATCTGCATCAATCCATGAAGACTGCTCTTGTCAAGGTCATAAGTAAGCTCCAGTGTTTCTAAATCTTATTGTTTCTTCTTTATTTTCCTTTTACTTGACCTTTTAGGAGTTTCATACGGGTGCCTCTCCCTCTCCTTATAAGGATACCAGTTCTTCTGGATTAGAGCCCCACCTTTATGACCTCATTTATCCTTAATTACTTCCTTAAGGACTCTATCTCCATATACAATCACATGGGGGGGGGTGGATAGGACTTCAACCAACAAATTTTGGAGGGGAGGACACACAATTTCATACACACACAACAAGTTATCTTAGTTTTAAATACCATCTACTTGCCATGTTTTTTTTTTTTTTTTTTTTTAATCCCTGGCTCTAACCTCTTCCTGGAATTCCAGACTTGTATCTCCAAATGCCTCCTTAACATCTGGCACTCCATTTAACATGGCCCAAAGAGGCAGCCTCCCATTCCTGCTTCTTCCACCACTTTCTAGTCTTTCCCAGCCTAGTAAACAGCCTTTCCATCTTTGCAGTTTAAGTCTCAAATATGAGAATTACCCAAGATTTTGCATCTTTCCCTTAACTTCCACAGATAATCTACATGCTATCAACTCTACTTCTAAAACCTATTTCAAACCCATCCATTTTTCTTAGTCTCGCCCACTCCCACTCCATTTTTTCACTTGGACTACAGGTAGTCCCCTAGTTGATCTTTCTAATTCTACTTTCATTTCCTTATAATCCACTATAGGCCCAATACATGACAATTTGTACACTGGGGTGGGTGGGGGGGGTGGGTAGTGTCTCTCAGCACAGTCTGCACGCTCTCATAACCTGCAACCCCTCCAGTAGGGTCCAGTCCCATTGCAGCATGGCTCCGGTTCTGGCCGGGACCCAGGACTGATCAATTGGACTATATTAAAATTAAAAAAAAAAATTCTTCAAAAGACAATCACACACAGCCTGGCTGGCATGGCTCAGTAATGCCCAGGTTGCGGGCTCCATCCCCAGTAGGAACAACAATAAAGACAGCAACAACCAGAGATTAGGTCTCCCTCATTGATGTTTCTTTTTCTCTCCCACTCTCTCTTCTTCTCTGAAATCAATACTAAAAAATATATGTATATGTAAAAGAGACATCACACAAAGAGTTGTATTTGAATGTTCACAGCAATTTATTCATAATAACTCCAAACTGAAAACAACACAAATGTTTATCCATCAGTAGATAAGTAAATAGTATCCAAAAGAATACTACTCAGTAATAAGAGGACAAACTACAGAAACATGCAACATGAACAAATCTCCATGCTAGGTGAAAGAAGCCAGACACAGAAACTGCATATTGAATGTAAGTCTGGCTTCATGGTTGTGCAATCTGTGCAGTCACACAGGGACTTGTGGTTGGTTTGTGCTCTGTGTTTTGCTGCTGTGAAATTCTTAATCACTTTTTAAGAAGGAGCTCTACATTTTTTTGTTTTCCTCTGCAAATTATGTAGCTGTCTTGACTGGATGATTCCACTGAAAAGACGTTCTAGAGAAGTTAAAATTCTTGTGGCAGCTCCGTAGTTGTTAGGGGAGAGGAGATTGAATACCATGAGGCAGGAAGAAACTTTCATTACTTATTTAGTTTTTAAGCCTCACCTAAGGATATGCTGTTGTTTTTTTAAGAGAGAAAGAGAGAGAGAGAAAGAGAGAGAGAGAGAGAGAGAGAGAGAGAGAGAGAGAGAGAGAGAGAGAAAGAAAGAGATAGAGAGAAACATTAATCGGTTACCTCCCATATGTGCCCCAACCAGGAATCAAACCCACAACGTAAGTATGTGCCCTGTCTGGGAATCGAACCCAAGACCCTTTGGTGCACAGAACAATGCTCCAACCAACGGAGTCTCCTGGCCAGGGCAGAAGGAAACTTTTTAAAGTGCTTAAAATGTTTTACATCATAGATCATGGCATTGATTACACAACCATATACACTATTGCAATTAATGAGATTATAGACTTAAAATTGGGGAAATTTTATTGTATATAAATTATACCTTTGTAAAACTGATACACACTCATATGCTTTTATAGGCAATAATCTCCAGTGGCTTCCCTTCACATGTGGGACAGAACTCCACACACTTCCCTTCTCTAGTGGGGGACCCAGGCCTTACTAATCTCTGCAACCTCATCTCCCTTCCCCACTGCATCTTCTCACTCTTTTTTACATGGACCGAGTTTGTTTCTGCCTTAGGCCCTTGCCCTAGCTTTCTATTTTCCTGGAATTCTCTCACCCTAATCTTTCCATGGATGGCTCTTGTCATAGGATCTCAATAAGACCTCCTCAGTGACGCCTTCTCTGACAATCAATTGAAAGTAGTCTCAGATACAATCACATCCCTTGTTTCAGTCCTTTACGTAGCACCTGTCAGCCCTGGCATTTTCCTTTTCTCTTTATTATATACTTATTTTCTTTCCCACCAGACTGAGATCTCTGTGAGACTGGGAGCTTAATCTGTCATATCCTTAGGGCCTAAGGCAACACTTGACACAGAGTGTGTGCTCAGTAAATATTTGTTGAATGAATAAAACATTTGCGAAAGCACTGTTTAATGATATAGAAAGAGCTTCTGGATATTGTTAGGTAAAAAAGAGCAGCTAAGCAAAAGATATGTGATGATGAACCCATTATTTGTAAAAGCACATGATACATAAGAAAAAAAAGATTAGAATATACTGCAATTCTGGTCCAGCTGTTCCTCAAACCCAATTTGGACTGGGAGAGGTCGTCTTTGTTGGTGGACACTTTCTGTTAAGGGCCATGGGATTAGATTATGAGGATTGATAGGTTTCCTCATATGGTGCCCTCTAGCTCTTTAGTTTTTCCTGCCTGGAAACCAACACTGCGTTTTGTTTACACTTGGTTGCTGCCAATAACATTGTCTTATAAACTCTCCTACAACCCCCCTCTCCATCAGCTGCCCAACCCACATGGGCCTTGAATCCTGAGCAATGGCCACTAACCAAAGGTTATTTTCTGACTCTGGCTGGGAATGACAGTGATCCCCGAAATTGGGGTCATTCAAAACAGAGCTGGTGCTCAGGCTGTGACTTGTACAGTCCCCATTAAAGTTCAAAGCAAAGTATATCCTTACTTATCTAGTTGCAAACTTGTTTCAAAGGCATACCTTTTAGGACTTCATCCAAGTTATTGATGAAAAATGTTGATGGGACCAGACACAAAGTCGTCTGACACTGAAGACCTTCCATTAGATGGGCAGCTTTACTGTTGCAAGTGACTGTACTATCTTACCACTCACATTTATCTACCTTGTCTACTAGAACACCAGGAGGTGCTTTAAGAGCCAAAGGGTCTTTGGCAATCTCTGTCTACTTCAGTCTTCTTCAGTCTGTTTCCCTTGATACCCTGAATTTTTGGTATTTTAGGCTGTATTTTGCAGAATGGTGGAAGGAGAATATGGCCTTTGCTTTCCCAATTCAGTAAAAACAGCCCTATTCTCATCTGTTTTAGAAATCAAAGTACTGGGTAACATTTTACTTGCAAAGGGGATTCTTTGGCTTTAAAATGTTTTAAATTTTTTTTTTTTTCAAGTAATGACCATTACTAAATATAAAGATAAAATACTCTTCTTTTGCTACCAATTTCTTTGTGTCTCTGAACTGGTTCACTAGTCATTAAAGTTCGGTTAAGTGTGTATGGTCTGTTGTTTAGACATGCTTTTTTGGCTTTTACAGACTAGCTTGTGAAACTAATTTACAGTTACAATGTGGTTCCAAAGGAAAATTCATTCTGAATTTCAAGAGGTAGTATAGCATAGGTCCTGGGGTCAGATCGCCTGAATTAGAATTCTAGCTTGTCAAACTTTCCGTGTGGCTCTGGGCAAGTTTCTTAATTTCTCTCTGTTTCACAGTTTCCATCTGTTAAAAGAGGGAAGACTGTCCCACCTACATTGTAAGGCTCTGAGAGCATCACAAATGAGGTTATCATGTACTGTGCCTATAAACACTTGGTATGTGTTCAGTAAATTGTCATTGAAGTATCGCTGTTAATATTAATTGGCATCAATTATAAATGTCAATAGGTTATCATTACTGTAACTTGTTCAAATCTGCCCAGGACTGCACACCACTGTTTACTTCTGAAAAAATGATCCTGAGTATCTTAATTTATGATGGCTTAATAGAAAGTTGGTTCTCAATAAAAGCTGACTGAAATGCAGGTGGATCTTTCTTGCCTTTTTGTGTACGGGGCACTTGAATCTGTTGTCAGGTTATATGTCTTGAAACAACTGTCGCTTAAGTTCTTTTTATTTGATTGCTTTCATCTTTAAAAAAAAGGCATATCAAAATATGTCATTAATAGGAAGTTTGAATTTTGCTTTGAAATTAAATGTATTCTGGAAGTTGTAGAATATAAAAAAGGTCATTCTTTTTTTGTAAAACAGTAAGAATAGAAACATTAAAAATTATATTAACCAAAGTTTGGACATAATATACAAATTTTAATATTGCTAGCACATTTCTGCTTTATTAACAATAAAAATAGTCTCAAGAGATAAATGTACTAGCATTAGCTAGGCTTAGAGGCTTACAAAGTCTTGACTTCTGAACACCTGAAACGCAATGTTTCAGTACCCTGTGCTTTAAAAGAATTTTTAAAAATTTTCTTAAATTAAAAAATAAGTATTTGTGTTTATTTGATGTTTATTTAGGTACCCAAGCCAAAAGATGCGGTTACATGCACTATTTAAGAATTGATTTGACTGAGAAAATGTGTCAATGAAAGCTCCTTGTCGGAAGATCACTCTATGCTTCAAGGAGATTACC